AAAGCAATATTTAAAACAATTGAGTTGTTTCCAAAAATGTGATGTTTTCAAAGGTAAAAATGTTTCCTCATTGGAGAAATATACAAAACTGAAATGATACTTAATACATAAAATATTTTTATCATATTAGAGAAATATATAAATGTCTAATGGAGCTAATTTTGATATGTGAATCCTAGGCTATTTTACTTTATTCTTTAAATTGTTTTTTGTGGTGGTGCACGCCTCTAATCCCAGCACTCGGGAGGCTGAGGCAGGAGGATCACTGTGAGTTCAAGACCAGCCTGGGCTGCATAGTGAGTTCCAGGTCAGTCTCAACTACATAGTGAGACCCTCTCCCCCAAACAACAAAAAAAATTGTTTTTTAACTTACTTATCTAGAATTTTAATACAATTATAAGTAATAATATCATCTTTTAAATAAAATAATATAATCGTTACAATGAATAATGCTGCTATTTGGACATTGGGAAGTATGAAAGTCATAAAAATAACATTAAAATGAAAGATCCCATAGATAATGTGAAATAGGAAGAAAAGGTCCAAAGGGGAAAGGGAAGAGGGAGGAATAGAGGAAAAGAAAGAAGAGAAAAGAATATGAGAAAAGGAAAAAAATGGAAACAAAGTCTTTGTAAATAGGGAGGGGTGGAGGGCAGGGGAATGGGTAAAAAATAAGAACCAAGATATATCACATAAATTACAATGCCCAATGATGAATGCCATCATATTGTACACCTAAAATGTACCAATAAACTTAATGAATTTAAAAAAAAAGATCCTGAGTAATCATAAATGAATGAAGGAAAAGCAAAGAAGAAAATCTAAATTACATTTTCTAGATCTTAGTTGTTCTGTTGGTGAATACGGAATGAGTTCCATTTGAATTTTTTCTACATATACCCCAAAGATCACATTGTTGGAAGTTCATCAGAAGAATCCAAATATTTTATCTGACTTCACATGAAAAAATGAAATCCTGGCAGAAATCATATTACTTAGGCCAAAATAATTCTTAGCCAAATCCCTGCTATCATCATTATGATCATCATTCCTTTTGAGAAGGACTCTTATTAAGTAAGTAAGAATCAAGCGAAAATTTGTTGGATTTTATTTAAGGGTACTTTTCATGGCATGTTTTATTTTAATGAATGCTTTCATTTGCTGTAAAAAATTCAGTTCCATTTGAAAGAGAATTTTTAAGTTTAGCTTTATCTACAATGAACCTAATAATAAATATATTTGGGGCCAAGGTGAACTTAAGTAGAAATATTTCAACATTATCCAAGAAAACAGGTTCACAAAATCTACAGAAAATTTAATTATTCCTGTGTTTCCCAAAGTGGGCAGCATCTATAAAAATCTTCCACAGTATTAATAGATGTAGAACATAAGGAATTTGAAAAGGACTGCGTAAAAAGTTTGCCGTGAAGTCTCAGCTCCCTTAATATCCAGATGTGGTGTCAACCTACATATTAAACGTGAAGAAGCACACGTTGAAATGCAGCCCCAAAGTGAGAGGACCAACCAGGCAGAGGACAAACGAGCCACAAAGAGCATGTGTGAAAGCATCAGGCACTTGAGAAGAACTGTAGGGAAATTCTGCAGTTCCAGGAGATACGTCTGGAAGTAGAGGCAAAGGCCAGATTGTGGAGCTCTTGAATGACTAGCTAAATGCTTGAAGCCTTTCAAACAAGTCAGTCCTCCATCACTGAACATTCTTAGGAGGGAAGTGGCGGTATAAATGTGGCACTTTGGAAAGATGAATCTGGAAAGCATAAGGTTCAAAGAGAGGAAATACCGAAGGTGGTGTCCGGTTAGACTTCCCCAGCAATGCCTCAACCGTAAGATGAAACGAGAGTGATAAGGATGGAATCCGGTGAAGAAACACCTGCAAGCTACACTGCAGATGAGTAAGGCAAGGAGCACGGTATGGCTTTGAGGGTATCTAAAGCTGTGTCAAGGACAGAGGTGGTGTCAGCAGCCTTAGTGAGTCCTTTGCTCCTCTATGGAACAAGCTTTGTTACTGTCCCGTGTCCTAGTGTAGGTTTTCTCCCATGTAGGACGTATTCTTCATCACATGGCTGACTTCCGTTCACTCTTTTAAAATTCAGGTCGTTTCTCTTCCCTCTGAAGTTAGTTTCACATGCTCTCTTTTAAGTGTCCTGAGTATAAAACTATACAACACTTGATGTATTATAAGTTCTATCGATTTGTCTGTCTCCGCAATGATGTAACTTCATGAGGGTTAAGACCAAGTTCATCCATTTCCACAACTAACATCATAGAACACAAGGGAACTCAGTCACTGTGTGATGAAGGACCCTGCCCAGGAAAGGCAGAGCATCTGTCTAAAGATAAGCAGAAGTGGAGGTGTAGATGGAGTAAAACTGCAAAAAGGTTGTTTGTTCAACCTGTTGGAAAGCCAGTGAATTGAGATTAAAGAACATAATAACAAAGCAACCGATTAAGCAGAATTCCCGGTAACAAGGGATGCTGTGGCATGTTGACCTAGTGTGGATGATTTGATCCTGGTAGTTCAAAACTACCACAGTCCGCACAATGTTCCTACTGCTCTTCTGTTTCCTCACCTGAAGTCATGTTTCTCCTATGAAGAATGATGTCCCATCTTTAGCTTCTATTTCAACATGTATTGTTGAGTATATGCAATATAAAATGGAAAACACAGATCAATACCAAATATCACTATTCCATGCTACCTTTCTGCATCTTTTATTTTTCTTAATCCTTAGAGTACATTTTTTTCCTAATGTGTACCCTGAAGATCACCTGCACAAATTCTCTTAGAGAGTAATGTTTATGAAAATTTTATCTTTATTGACATTTTTCAATCTAATAAATGAAGGCAATATTGAATTAGGAACACCATTTTTCAATTCTAAATGATGTAGTTTACTTTAGCAAATGAACATCAGTGGTTAGGAAATCATTCATAAAATACACGTACTTGATGACTGGATCAATCTGATAGAATGTCAGCACACTGTTTAAATGTAAAGTTATATGAAGACAGACAACCTGATACCCTTACCTTTTACAGTATGACACAACACTCTTTCCAAGATACTTTTGCTTAGAGAAAAAACCAAAAAAAAACAAAAAACAAAAACAAAACAGCAGAAATCTGAATTTGACCAGATTTCTATCTGTAGCCATCAGCTTTAAGGGAACTTAGCAGGAAAGTGTAAAAAGATAACCCTGGGAAGATTTTCAAAATCCTGAATGTGGGAATCAGATTTCAAGGAGTAAAATTTTAAAGGGGAAAGCCCTATAGACTAAAATGTGTTAAAAGAAATTTAATGACATGTCCATATGTCAAAAGTTCAGATGTTTTGGTATAGTGATTTCAAGGAACATGGATTTATAAATCATTTATGAGGCAATTAGAGAAACAAGATCACTCATTGATATTCAGGAATTAGTATTAATTTTAAGTATAATAACAGTTATAGTTTTAGGCATCATTATATATAATGAAATGCTTTGAGGTGAAACATGATAAGTGAAATTTGTTTCAAAATAATGCAGCAGTGGCAGAAGTAGGATTGTATAGTAGTGGTATAAATGAAATGAGATTCTTATTGCACTTGGGTGATAAACATATAGTTCATTTTTATATGCTTGAAATTTTCCTTTTCTACCATTACAAAATATAAATTATTGGGCCATATCTCAGAATTATTAAATCAGCATACCTGGATAGTTCCTAGGAATTTGAATTATCAACATTTTCCAAGGTGATTATTACTTGCACCAAGACTTGGTAATTGTAGTCCTAAAATGATTTATTCCATTGATCTTCCCTTGTCATGAAAATGCAGCAAAATGCATACACACCTCTCTAAGGACAGATGCTGTATCTTCTAAAGCCATGTATTTTCTGAGACTATCATCTATACAGTATATACTTGATATCATTTATAAATGATGTTAGGTGTAATAATTTTGGTCACTGTGAAGAGATATTTTAGATGCAGAGTACCCAGGGTTTGCCTACAAACTCCAACATGTCAGGTCCGTTTGGCATCAGAAGTATGTATCTTCTCACAACTCTGAGCAATAATCTGGCCCAACAGAATGACTCAGGGATATTTAACACACTTAATTCCTATAATGTCAATGTCTCCATACGTCAAACAGCAAGGATAAAATCTAACAGGATGTGAAAAATGGATTCCTCCTTTACAGACAAAAAGAAGTAGTACTAGCAGCCAAGTACAGAGCATCCACACTGGTGAATACACATACATACTGTCTTGCCCCAGTTCACAACCATTCTGTTCACGAACATTTGACAAACCCAAGCGTATGGAAGAATTTGTTTCCTTTCACCAACCCTGCATCAGGTGGTAAACACAAGTGTGCCCATCTTCCCCAGAATAATGAACAAATTAAGTTTGTGAACCAAGGTCTACTGTATGTGAATTAAATTTTTGAAAAATTAACTGAAATGTTTCCACCTACCATTACTCCTTAACTGTGCTATTTATCAAGTAAAACTTTCACTCCTTTCAAGAAGATATTTCTACCAAAATGTATCATCTTATTAAGAACTGTTTTACCAAAGGCCCAGTATTTCCGATACCTTGAAATCCTTGAGAAAACAGAAATGATTAAGATAAATTCCATCCTAGTTTTACTCGAGTCTTCTAGTTTTACTACTATTTTGTTAGGGGATTTTGAAAATGACACTATTTTACTGGTTCTGGTTTCCTCATATATAAAAATATAATTCTGCAATAAATAAGTCATTCTATACTGAGATTATTTTTAAGTTTACCTCTAGTTTTATGGTACTTCTAGGGGAAAAATGACTTCATCTAATATTTAAACAGAAAAAAATATCTTAACGGTAAAAGGGAAAAGACATAAAATGATCCCACTTCAATGCTTTAGATGACAATAAAAAAGGCCAAGTTCATACAGTTGTGTTCTGAAGATATAACTCTAGTCATAGGAAGGACTGTCACTCTTTGGCTTACCTGCTTATGAGCATGATCATAAGAATTGATATGATTGTCAAACTCCTGGTGTTTGTGATACTGCTTGTCACATAATTCACAGTAAAAGTTTGCCTTTACATCTTCCAGGGCCTTTGCTGTGGACTTTTCCTTTTCTGTGAAATCCTGTAAAAAAAAAAAAAAAGGGAAAGACACCGGTTAAATTTCTGTCTGAGGGTATCACTCACTCTCATATTAATCAAATTGGTATGTAACTTGACTTGGACGAAAATAATAGGGTGTTTCATTATTTTCTGTAAATTCATTGACACTGAGGCAGTAACTCACACTTTAGTATCATCCCTAATTTATCAAAAAAAAATACAAGTTTTCTCAAATTAGTCCGCTGGTTATTGTTATAGCCTGGTCATTTGCTCACCCTTCCTCTTGCATTCCATTAGCACGTTGTGATTCTATTAATAACCAACCATTTCTTTGGGCATTCCTACTTCAGCCCCTTCATACTTCCTTCCTACTTCAGAATTTCCTGTGATATTACTCATTGAGCTCTTGTGTTTTGTGCAACTCTGCCTTCATCTGGAAAACTAACCCAGTCCAGTTCTCTCCAGAGATGACCCCTTCCCCTGATAGGAACAACCTGATGAATCTGTAACTTCCAGCTCCGGCCTACGCTCCCTGAACACTATCTGTGTTCCTCATGACCATTACCCTTACAGCTGTAGGGTGCACTGTCTCAGTTTGGGCTATATTATTCTCCAGCATAAAGCACTCTTGCATTTTCTTCTTACCTGTAAAGTAATCATGAAAAATGTTTACTGAGTATAAATTGTATGTCAGGTAGGTGAGTTACCTTATTTATTCCTCAAATCAACCTAAGAGTTAGGCTTTGTCTATATCTGCATTTCACTGATGCATCAGCCAATGCCTGGAGAGGCCACATACTCACTGTTTCGAAGTTAGTAAATGGAACAGGAATTTGGATCAGACAAAATAGGCCCAGATCCCTTGCTGGGAAGCAGACGAAATTTGCCTTCCCTCTTTAAACTACCTTGCTTAGTAGGCCTTAAAAATTCTTATCCTACCATCATCGTCTCTTATCAAATCCTGCTTTGTGTATCCTCCTCAGTTCTTTCCCCATATACACAAATTTGTGTTCATTCTTTTTTCATGCTTTTTGATTTCAAAGTATTTTTTAAAAAGCATTTTGTTTGTCCTCGCAATGCTAAATGATGCATTCATTGTCTTGCCTGGAACGGATACCTATTTAATACACTTCATAGATAATGGTGGCTTACAGACTCATGCTTCCTGCAATCCAGGAGGTTCTCTTCTGTTATCTGTGTCAAGTAAAAGAGCGATGGCACACAGACGATAACACATACATCCGCACAAAGAACGGATGAAAAATTAAAAGATAGATATGGAGTGTTTCTCTAAAGTGGCTAGCTTTCTACTTCGAGAAAGCAGACCACAAGCCTACATCATAGAATCATCAGGGGCAGACCAAAAATATAGCCACCATGAATTTAGGTAGATTTTCTCAAGGCATGTGGAGTGATGGGGCAATTGATTCATACATGGAAACATAATAATACAAGGCCAAATATAAAAGGGCAAACTAAATGGCAACAAGCAAGAGGGACAAAAATATCATTAACAAGCTTCAAAAATTAGAGCAACTATCTGGGCTGCCTACCTATGAGAACAGAAATAAGCATTTGGCTGTACTCCAGGATAACAGAGGGTACAAGAGCTGTGGGACAGGATGTATGCGTTAATGAGAGTGTAGACTGATTTTAGCAAAATCCCAGTAGCTTAAAGAACTAAGAAAATAGGCGGAACATGTAGCTGCCATTGGGAATGGATTTGGAGGGTAGAAATGAAACAGAGCTCAATCTTTTTAATAGGATTAGTATCAAGGCAAAGCGCCATGTCTCATCTACTCTTTTCTACAAGTGTTTTCTCTTTTCACTTTTTAAATATAAGTTCAGGGACTGGGTTATATTGATTTGATCATGATTTCCCGTTAATATTATGATATTGGAGCAACAGCATTAAAAAAAACAGTTGGCTGGATGGGGATGGTGGTGCACACCTATCATCCCAGGACTTGGGAGGCTGAGGGAGGTGGATCGCTGTGAGTGCAAGGCCAGCCTTGGCTACACAGTGAGTTCAAAGCCAGCCTGAACTCTCATAGTGAGTGAGACCCTGTCTAAAAAACAAGAGAAAAAATAGTTGGTTAATTCTGCTAATGCTCAAGCGTACTTCCTTCTCACAAACTGGGGGAAAATAGACAAGAACTCAGGGTGCTTCTGTGGCAAGAGTATATTTTTCTTTAGTCTTGATCATGGGCAGGATTGCACAGAAATGGCTAAAAAAAACCCCACAAGAATTAGAATTCTCTAGTTATTCTTAATACATTCATCTGAACATATTTCCAAAATAACATTTAGTTAATATACTACATGATTTTCATTTCAAAATTTTATCATTTTAAGAGACATTTACTAATACTTATTTGGCATTTTTTGTGACTACTCATATTGCATAAGGTTGTATGACTAAATTATGTATCACATTTTGTGTGCACTTAGGGCTTTGACACTAAGGTGCATCCCTGGTCATTTCTTTTTCTAATTTTCAGACTGCATTCAGCTAACTTGCGACCCTCTCCCCTCAGCCTTCCAGAGTGTTTGACAGCATGCCCCACCATTTCACATTTCACATTCACATTCACATCACATTGCTTGCTTCATTTCTCCTGCCAGGAAATGGTGTATCATTTCCCATCTCCCTTTCCTCTATTGCACTAATGACATCCCTTGGGGCACGGCCCAATGCCATCATTAGGAGAGGAAAGGTAGGTAGGTGTAATATAAATGCCACCAGCAAAACATGCAAACACAGCTCACAATCTAGTGTGTTCAGCAAAGCCAGACAAAACAGGATAAACTCAACAGTGGTTGAGTTGGTATGAAGACATAGAGAAACTGAGGCAGGAGGATAGAAATCATAGGCAGATCAAAAAAGCAAGAAAATGGGTTGCGTCAGGAGGCTCACACAATGAAATAAAAGGGGTAGGGAGCAGAAGAGGGAGAGGGAGGAAATGAACATAAGGCTAAGTTTTGCAAAATTGAGATAAAACCTAGATAGCACATAATGAGACTGTCTTTTGTAGGAGGCCCTTAACCCAAAGGCCATGGCATCGCCCAGCATGATGTAAGCTTGTTCTAAAGTGTACACATGGGATGATCTACTCAGATGAAGCTGAGTGCGTGCAGAGCAGAGCAGGAGAGAAAATGTCAGACTAGTAGCATAAGCATCATGTAAATCCAACTTATTCTGCAGAAGTGGTCGTTCATACTTGTTAATTTGGTAATTTATATCATCTTACAGTGCTAGATAACAGAACACTGAGAGCACATTTTTAAGTGGTTAATGCTGCTTCATTCATCTAATCATTAATCTGCCCGTCTAACAATCTATTTAACCAAATAACAATTTCGTATTCTTACTTCCAAAAACCTCTTATTGGGCCAGGGATTTAGCTCAGCGGTTCCGTGGCCTGCCTTGCAAGTGCAAGGACCCAAGTTTGTTCCCTGGTACTAAAAAAAAAAACCAAAAAAAAAAAAACAAAAACTCTTATTGAGCAACTTTTGAGACATTTCTTTACTTGTTCTTGCTCCAGATATTCATGGTCTATCTATTGGAATAAAATGTAGAATTATATGTAAAGATACAAAAACATATGTGATACAATGATGCTTACAAGCAATAGCTATCTATTCCTGATTACTTAAGAATAATTGGTAGGAAAAGTCTCTTTCTCTCTCTGTCCCCCACTCTCTCTCTATAAATATATATGTCTATATATATTTATACACATGTCCCCATATATGTGTGCGTGTGTGTATAAATTGGAAACACGCTATATTTTTTATTTTTTGTGGTAGTTGTTAAATGACATAGTATTTTTACTGGTCGAATATGCTGAAGGTAAATTAACATGCCATTTAAAATGCATATGCAGATATACAATAAATATGAAAGAAAAAATAGCCACATAATCTCAGTACCAATAAATTATAAAAATAAAAAATATAAAATTGACAGAAAAATAAAATCCTTCATTGATTTACTAGGTATTCACATTTTCTTTTCCCAGTTTGTTTAGTGGAGGATGTTTTTAAAAACTTATTTAGCAGAATAGAGCATTGATGAAATAAAGGAAAATTCTTGTTAATCATTCTCAATGATTCATTAAAAGGTCGGAAATGAAATTCAAATTGAAAATGAAAGTCATCTTAATGAGTCACTCTAAAATTATTAGCTAATGTCAATGAGCATTTTATGTTGTAATCCAATACAAATTCTTTATAATTAGTTACTTATTATAATCAGTGTGGCTATAAGGCCAGCATATGTAACTTTACATACCAAGAATTTTTTTCTTCACGCATATAACAGATGTAGCAATGAAATGACAAGTCTTCTGATTAGAGTAAGACATTTCATTAAAAATATGGATGTTTAGTATCAATTTTTAATGACTGCAATGACTACTGCACATTAATACTCACTGACCCTGTGTTGTAAATCAGAAATATGCCTCCTACCTGTTAACTCAATCTCCACAACTCTAAGATACATGGCGAATGGTGCACAGACTGCTTTCCAGCTCAGACACTGCATAGGAGGCTGTTCCAGGCTCAGAACCCCCGAATGTGGAGGCTCTTGTCACCATGACCGCAGCTTCCCCACTGTTCAGCTTTAACCAAACGCCAGACACCACATACAGACAGTCTGTCTCCACCAACACAGGTGGAGCCAGGAGGGTACACATCCCTCAACTCTCAGAGAGAGTAAGAGGACCGACTGCAATTTAAAAATCCATAGTGCCTTTAAAACTGAAAGGTGGACACTAGGAAAAGACAATGTAGCAATCCTGTCCTGCTGGTTGTTAATAGGTGTCCTGATTATGAAAGAAAAAAGAAATGAATATTGTTCTTTATATCTCAATGATGTTAGTATCAGTGCAGGACTTTGAGTACTGAATTAATATTCTTGGAATGAAAACCCTCACTGGAGCTTTCCTTATTATATAGAACAGATTGCTTTAAAGATTGCAATATTCTCTACCTGATCTATTCTATTGGTCCCAAATA